GCAGCTATCTGACTATGGTTTTCTTTCAGAAAAAAAGAAGCAGAATGACAAATTAGTTCAAAAATATGTTCTCTCTTAAAACTAAACTGTACTTGAGCAAAAGCCCAGCTGAGAGAAATAAAATTTACAAAGAATTGTTTGGAAGCTGTACAATTCATCCCTTCTTCTTTTTACTTGAAAGTCTACTCCCTTTAAGGCCCAGGATAGTAAAAAGCTGTGAATTGCACAGAGAGCCTTAAAGAGATTCTTCCAGGGTCCAAAGACCCACTGCTCACTCTACTCCAGGAAGCTGTTCCCATTAGTCTTTTTTCCTATTTAGTCTTGTAAAACCAAATCTAGGGTTTACCTGTGACAGACAGGCCTCGCACAGAATTCATTTTATTGCACTCTCATGTTTCACTACCCACCTCTAATTTATATCCTACACATCTTTATTGCATGCTATTTTGCCATATATCACACAAGCACACTTAAAAACTGTAGAGGTAAAAAGGAACTGAGTTAATGCATATAGAGGTTGAACTCAGGATACGATTTTCAGATGGAAATAACCAGTTGATAAAAATGTCCAAAATCAACTCTTCGAGTACATGAGAAGCCCATGAGAGTTCCCTGGATATAGAAGACCCTGGGAAGCAGTTAAATAAGTATACATCAGAAAAGTTGGCACAGTCTCTCAAATGGGATTTGATTTTGTGTGTGTGTGTGTGTGTGTGTGTGTGTGTGTGTGTGTGTGTGTGTGCCTGCAGGCGCTTATGCTGCTGAGCTAAATCCTCCGCAGGACTTGATTAATTACAGGGTGAGTATCAGTAGTGAGCAGTTGAAAGACATTAGTCATCTAGTGTCCCACATGCTTGAAATGTTCCTTGGTTTTGCTATGCAAATGATTTATGGAGATTCCAAATTTTGGAATTCTATGCAAATAATTTATGGAGATTCTGAGCTTTGAAATTCCATTTTACTTGATATGTCAGCACTTTTATGATTGGATTCACTTCAAATCTGTAAAAAAACAATCACTTTTCTTATTTCAAGCATTTCATTTTTGTAGAAATACCCTACTGACCTGATTCCATCTTTGTTCATTCTTAAAGGGCAGGCAACAGAATGGAAAAGCAAAAGGAATACGGAACAGGATAGGACATGGCCCCAGTCCCATGGGGCAGTGTGGGTCCATGAAAGAGTTCTTTAAAGGGGCTGGGGATTTAGCTCAACGGCATAAGCACCTGCCTTGCAAGCAGGCGGTCGTGAGTTCGATCCCTGGTACCGATAAAAAGTTTTAAAAAAGGGGCTGGGGATTTAGCTCGGCGGCATAAGCGCCTGCCTTGGAAGCAGGCAGTCGTGAGTTCGATCCCCGGTACCGATAAAAAATGAAAAAGACAAAAAAAAAAAAAAAAAAAAAAAAAAAGTTTTAAAAAGTTTAAAAAAAAGAAAAAAAGAAAAGAAAGAGTTCTTTGAATCTCTTGGGAAAATTACCAAATGTCATCTACACATGCCTAGTGATTGATTATTAGGGTAAAAACATCTTTAAATTTCCTTCATCAAGCTGAGGTAAATCCAGGTCCAAAAAAAGGAGATAATCTGGAGACATATATCATTTCTACAAATTAAAACTAAAAAGCACACCTATACAAAGATCTAGCACCTCAAGAATAGATGGAGAAATAGCATTCAACTAGAATTAACAGGCCGTTTAGATAAGCTTGCCAGAACAAAAGTTTAAATTCCAGGATTGCCACTCTGTATTGTTCAACTTTTCTGTGACTGGGACAAATCTGTCACACATGTGATTTAAAGGAAGGAAGGTCTATTTTGGCTCACTGTTTTAGAGCATTCAGTTCAAGGTTGGCAGACTCTAAGGCAGAAATAACATGGTGGAAGGGCCTAGCTGAAGGAAGCTACTCAACCCATGACAGCCAGGAAGCAGAGGGACCCAGGGACAGGTACTGATTCTTCCAGGTTATAGCAAACTACCTCTTGCAGTCAGGACCCCTTCTAAGGGCACATCTAGCTTATAATCCTCTGATGAATACAGCACTCCCCTGTGCCACTGAAACTCTTCCTCCTTCTAAATACATGAGGGGGGCATTTTAGATTCAAATCATAACACTTCTCCCTAAGCAAAACTGTGCTAAGGTTTCCTGGATATCCTACACTCATGGGTGTTTGTCTCCCACACTAGAGAATCTCTCCTTCTTGTACCTTCCTCCTCACTTCCTTCCTAAAGGGGCGCCAGGAAGTGATTCATGTAAACACAGTCACAAAAAACCTGGGCACTAAAATCTGTGAATACAAAACTCAAACAAAATTTGACTTCGCAGAAACAGAGATGGTAGTGACGCTATAGGCCTCAGCAATCTGAAAACAGGAGCAAGTGCTCCTAGAAGGTAAGTAACAGGGATGACAGGAGCATCAAGGAACACTGTTCACCTAAGGCCATCACAGCCCAGAAGCCAGCATATTAGTGTGACATTTGTCTATTAACTGTGTCATTTAAAATCCACATCAAGTACACAGAGCCCTCAGGACCTAAGTGAAATTCTGGTGGTTTCCTGTAAAATGTAAAAAAGATGGAAGCTCCAACTGGACAGATGTTCAAGAGATGCCCCAACTGTGTCTTTAACAGCCACATCATCTTTCATCAAATGCAAAAAGTCTCACCTCGGAGTGGAGCCCCACACATATGACAATATCATGCACATATCCCAATGTGCACCAAATCAGTATGCTCAGAAGGCCCCCATTAGATGTCTCCTGCCTCCAAACTCAAAAATTAAACATAAATGAAGACATGCAAAAAGATCCATATTTTCAAAATAAGCATCTAAAAATTTTATTTTCTGAAATCCTTTGGCACCTCCTTCTGGCCCAGTATGATTTTAGTCACCTTTGAGTTTGGCCATATTATACAGAAGATTCTATATAATAATACTGAATATATATAGTACATATTCAAATAGGCATGAGTCTAGAGTGTTAAGTATCTGTAATAATGGACATACATGATGAGGTGAGAAAGGAAACAGCAACTAAGTAAGAATGGATACAGGAGGGAGAAAGAAAAGGTTAGATTATGACGGACTTCCTAGGAGAGCTGACTTCTTTTAGAGGAGGGTACCGGACATCACACTCAGCGCCTCATGTTTATCAAGCAGGCGCTGTGCTGCTGACTTTTGAGTTCTAAACTGATTAGTGCTAAAATGAGAATGACCTATACTAGAAAGTTTATGAGGGCATTATTGATAACAGCCAAAAACCAGAAACAGTCCAAATATCCATCAACAGATAAATGAACAAAAGGTATCCATATGATGGAATGTTTTCATCCATAAAAAGATATATGCTATGACATAAACAAATCTTAAAAACATGCTGGTTTCTTTTTTAAAGCCAGAAACAGAAGACAATTTATTGCATGCTACCATTTATATGAAATTTCTAGAATAGGCAAATCTATGGAGAAAGAAATGAATTAGTAGTTGCTAGGGCTGGAGTTTTAGGGGAAATAGATTTGAGTTTTCTTTCAAAGGTAATGAAATATTCTAAAATTGGCTGTATGATGGTTGGACAACTCTGAATAGTCTAAAAACATTGAATTGCACGTTTTAAGTGGATGAATTATCTGTGTGAATTATATTGCAATAATTCTGTTTTTAAAAGTTAAATGGCTTCTTCTTGTTTAAATATTATTTGCCCTTCTACAGGGTCTTTCAAAGCTTTCCTCAATGACCAAGGAATGCAAGTATTTTCAGTGGGCAGGAGAAGACATTTTAGTTCCCCAGATTTCCTTCTCTGCCCCTGCCAAGAACCCACCAGCACTTCCCAGGGCACTAGCAGGCCCTCTCTCTTCTCACCAGCATCAGGCTGTCTTATGACAGTTTTTACTAGTACTTTGGTGAGGCCCCTCAGAGGCATCGCTTTGTGCAAAGCACACTAGTAGAGTGAAACAGCAGGATGGAAAGATTAAAAATGTTTACAGTGATTGGATTATTGCGTGGAAAAATTATCTCAGACTAATTCTTAACTGAACGTTTGATGGAATATGAGCCTGATATAATCTCTCCTCTGTCTGACAATGATTTCAATATGCTGCCATCTGCAGAATGCCCCTTTTTTTCTGAAAACAAGTTCCTGCTTAGATAACAGAGTCAGTGAAGATCCAGAGAACCATATGTTGCAATAAATGTACGTTGCACTCCATGCTTTCTCTCCGCTCTTATTTTTCTTGCCAAGCACTAACTATGAGCGTTTGTTGCTCTAAGTGTTTTCCTCCAAAGATGTGATAGATCTGAATTCAATTCAAAAGGGAAAGGGAAAAAACAGAGCAAGTAGTTTCTCTTTATGTCCAGCCAAGTGGCATCCCGAAGCTGAATATGGCCCAGAAGATCCTTCGCTATCCCTTCTCACTCACAGCTTCCTTCTCCTACTAATGGAGGGGACTGAGCCAAATTGGCTGAAGCCTGCACACTTCTATGTGTTAAACAGGGCAGCCAAGAGTCAAAGTTTTACACTGAATGCTCCAAGTCCATACACAGACATTTCAGTTAATTTTCTAATCTGACTCTCATCCCTTCCCGGAGTTCCTTTCCTGCAGTCTTTGTTATGTAGTCAGAGGCCCACAGAAGCTCACCCTCTGACATGCAGGAGAGAAGCACAGGGAATCCCAGGCCAATCAGTTCCTGCTTGCTCCTGCTTATCAAGTCGTTCAGATCTCTACGCCAAAGATGACTAAGAGGTGATTAAGAGTCATCAAGTCAAAGGGGCCTTATTTAAAAGAGTAACCTTGAGGCTGGGTATTTAGCTCAATGGCATAAGTGCCTGACGTCATGGCAAATGCAAAGTCATGAGTTTAATCCTCGGTACCAAAAAAAAAAAAAAAGAACAACCTCATCTCTTTATTCCCTCACTCTTATCCCATTTTACCTCACTTATCTATCATTTGTATTTGGTTATTGTCTCTCTCCCCAACTAGAATAAAAGCTCAAAAGACAGAACTTTACCTTTTGTTTATTACTTTTCTGCCATCTGTTGTGAGCCATATGGTTGTTATTCTTGCATGATGTGTTCACTACTGTAAGATAAATGCAAAGATGGTCAGTCACTTTATCATGCACCATATTAATTGAAAATAATCTAATTAATAATAGAACAATGGTTAAATAAATTATGGCATATGCATACAGCCATTTGAAAACATGTTTTCAAAGCTCTCCAGGCTACACTGAAATCTTTCCAATAACTCTGAATACATCTTCAATTAACTCTCAAGAAAATACTTATAGGATACAGACAAAAATAAAAACTTGATGCAACTCTGAAAACTAGAGCTATAGGTCAACTTGCTACCAAAATCTAGGAGGAGTTTCCATTTACAAGAAACAGAATACATAAGCTCTCTTATATTCATTAGAATCATAGTGAGACTGTACACTTGAGAGTAAGTAGTGGTTCTTGTCATTGCTCCCCACTTCCTGCTCCCTGAATTAATCTAGCAGTATCAGTGGTGGTTTAGATCTAAAATGTCTCCTGAAATCCTCATGTATCTAAAGATAGTTGAATCATAGAAGTGCTATACTCATCAGTGGATTAGCCCAACGATGAGTTCATAGCTGACTTGCTGATAGGAAGTGGGACGTGGTTAGAGACAGGTCACCAGGGGCATGACCTGGAAGGCTATATATCCCTCCTTGGCTCCTCCCTTCTCACTCTCTTTCCTTCCTGTCAGGGGATTGGTAGTTGTCTTCTTCCCAGACCCTCCAATGCTACTTCTGCCTTGAATCCAGTGGACCCTGAACTGAAACCATGAGCTAAAATAAACCTCTCATTTAAGATGTAGGCATTGGGTACTTTGTCCCAGCAACAGGAAAGTAGCTAAGATACTGTGCAGAGATCAAATATTAAAAACTACAAAAAGTTCTTATATTATAAAGATGTCTCCAGCCTATTAGTAGTCATCACAGCAGTAACTGTGATGCCACCTGCAGGTGAATGTTTTGCACTTCTAAATCACTCTCTACCCCAGGAAACTTCACAGTTGCTCTAAGTCGGGCAAACAAAGGTTTGCTTCCTTGTTTGGAAGCTTAAAAAGAAGGAAGGGAAAGAAGTATATCAGACAAGGATGCAAACAATTGCCTTCAAGGTGTTCAGTTGAAGAGACCTTTGTAAAAGGATTACTGAGAGGTATTCAGGAAAAGGAAAACACAGTGTCAATGAAGAACACGATGCTACCAATAGGGGGCTCCCTCACGGCCTGTAGGCTTGAGTCAAAAGCAGGAACCACATTACCAGAGTGGAGGGAGGGAGAGGGTGCTACACAGCTGTTCCTAAAGCAAAGATGATATAAACTGTTGTGCTCCTACCAGGGACTCCTGAGTCGCTGAACCCAGCAGGAGGTCAGCTGGCAAAGAAGCCTGTGTGATGTGGTCCAGAGGCATCACCTTCCATGGATGGGAAATCTGGAGAGGCAAAGGAGGGGTAGAAAAGAGTTGGGAGGCAAAACCAAGGTCACATAAAGGAGTCAGCTTCACCCTACTGTCACATCCCTTGCTGGAAGGGGTGAGAGGCAAGGGAGAGAGCTTCTCCAGATGCAAAACCATACCTACAAAACCCAGTAACAGTCTCTACATGATAAGGTAAGCATTGTCAGTGATCCTGTTTGATTATGTGCCTACCTGTAGCAAGAATTCTAAATTAACAACTGAAAGGATCCTAACAATGTCAGGCAAAAACATGAAAACTGCAAGGTCAGTCCAGGAAGATGCAGGTCTATGAAGACTTGGTGCTGTCTTTTCTCAGAACATTATTCCAAATCCAGAGAACAATGACCTAGAAGGAATGATCTTCCTTTTTCTAATTCTTATCCTTAGTGCCAAATAAAAGCTTTCTCTTTGCAAGCTAGAGATGCCCAGCTAATCATGCTGTGTTTTGCTCTGATTAACCTTTGAAATAGGCACTTCCTTCTTTTGTTTGTTTGGGGTTTTTTACTTGTTTTCCTGATTGCTTGAGGCCAAGCTCTCCTTAAAAGTCAGTGACCAGCATGCCTAATCTGGCTTCTAGTTGCCTTTGTAAACATTTCAGGATTAATAAATGCTGGCATGATTAACCACATTATCTGCTCACTCCTGTACCAACAAGAAAAAAAGCCAGCAAAGCAGCATTCTGGACTCCTCTACACACTTACTTGTAATGTGGGAATTGTTTGAATGAAGCCGATTTAAATCAGAATTTCCCAACCTTGATCATCAGATCACTACCAAGCCTATGAATCACCTAAAGATCATAATTACTAAATTCCCAGATAGTGATTCTCAGAGACCCTTATCCCAGAAATTACAGATTCTTTGATCTGAGGCAAAATCCAGGAATTTATTTTTCTTTCCTTTATAAGTAATGCTGATATAAAACTCAGTTAGAAAATCACTGATTTAGGTCACTTTTCCCATGGCATGGAACCCATCACAGCCACCTCTACTCTGTCTGTGCTGTTTGTGACATTTCCTCCTCAAAGTGGACTTTGATATGCATATTAGTCTCTCTAATTAAAAGGGGCTGGATTGTATAAAACTTTCCCTTTGCCTTTAACACTCTAGGACTTTATGTTTCACTGATACAGAGACAGGTGACGGAAAACACAAACTATGTGGTCAGTCCCAGAGCTGATCAACAGCCCCATTCAGCTGTGCTAGTGAATATAGATGATCATAGTCCCTGGAGTATGGCGTCCAGTTTCTAAAGACCCTAGGGCAACATGGAAGGAAGACGCTGAAGCAAAGATGCAGAATGCTTCCAGAACCTACATTGAAGACTACAGACCAGGCCAGGTGTGGTGATGTGCATAGGTAAAACAAGCCCTTGCGAGGCTGATGCAGGAAGATCACTGTGAGTTCAAGGTCAGCTCAAGCTACAAAGTGAGGTCACTGCCCACCTAAACTGCATAATGAAACCCTGTCTGAAAAAGAAAAAAAAATTTCAAAAGTGAAGACTACAGACCGCTTGCCAAGCAGTAGGTACAGAGAGGGAAAATTCCCCATAAAGTAACTGCCTCAAGTTATCTCTCAGACTGCAAACCAAAACCTGTGAAAACCTTAAAGTCTGCTCTATGTTAGTGTTTTTGTGCTGCTATGACAAAAGACCAGATGATTTATATATGCTAAAAAAAACTATTTCTCATAATTCTGAAAAGTCCAAGATCGAGAAGCCAGCAAACATGGTATCTGGCAAGGACTTCTTTCTACTTTTAGAAGTGCTCCCTCTGATGAATATTAGCATTATGTACATCTAAAATGTACCAATAAAATAAAAACTTTTTCGAAAAAGAAGTGCCTTATTGTTCCATCCTCCAGGAAGAACAAAGACTGTGTCTTCACAGGGTGGAAAGGACAGGAGGCAAAAAGCAAACTAATTCATTCCCTTGAGCCCTTTTAAAAGGATGCTAATGCCACCCAAGAAAGTGGAGCCTTCATGGCATAATCACCTCCTACATGCTACACCCCTAATTCCTTGCATCAGAGTACTTTCATGAATTTGGAGAGCATACAACATTCAAACCATAGCATATTCAGACCACCTCCACTTACCCAGAGGCCTCCAACCCTGCACTTACCATAGTTCCCAACCTGACCAATATCATCCCCTTAAATAGTATTCAGAAATGTGAGGAAGACATTTTTCGGTTGCCACAATGAGTGCATATTGCAACATGGAGGGAGTTGTTGCAGAGTGGATGCAGTTAGCACCCAGGGGGTTGGTGGGGGAAGCATGCAGTGGGAGAGAGTTTCCATCAATAAAAAACCACCCCAAATGCCATTAGCACCTACACTGCAAAACTGAAACCTCTTACAGTTGGAGCCTCACAATTTAGCCCTTAATTATGGCTTTGTCACGAGAATTTATTGCAGCATTGTTCAGGTAGCAAAAGCCTGGAATCAACCTAAAAAACCATTGATAAGCGGCCATTAAATAAAGTGTGGTATATTAATAAAAAAGAATTCCATTACAGAGAATGAGGGAGGTCCAAACTAATATCACACAGCATCTGAGATACTTTATGAATTTTAGAGAGCAAATTGTAGATGAGTATTATAGTATGTCACATTTGATATTTTAATTTCTTTAAAAAAAGAAGGTGCTATGTGTACCTCTATGTTTGCATACAGAAAGAATCTCTCAGAAAGTACCAAGACACTGATCAGAAGGCAGGAGAACCAGGAAAAGAAGGATATCAGCATGATAAGGATTTACTTTAGTAGTTTGAATTTTTGCTAAATGGGAACATTATTTTCATCGCATTTGGCACTACTGTTGTTTTGTATATATTTGTGCCTCCCCTCACTTCTTGCTAAATTCCTGAGGACAGAGATATTTCTCATGGCACTGAGCCCAGAGCAGATGCTTCATATATTCCTACTGGTTTATTAATTGATGGATTTCTGAAAAGACTCAAATAGGGAAAATAATTCTTTTGAAAACCGAAATACTTGCCCAGTCAAACAGAACCCATGGGGAGCCTCTCCCGTCCCAGGTTTTCATCAAAGAAAGTGATTGGACTAAGGCTCAAAGTTTTAACAAAATGGGCCACTTCTTCCACTTCAGTGACTCCACATCTTGCAAAACCAACCTTCGAGTCAGGGGACTGACATTTATAATGTCCCGTATGTGCCTCATCAAGCAAGATACTGAGCATTTTACCTACATTAACTCATTTGCCTATTAAAGGTTCATAAGGCAAATGTATTCACCCTCATAGCTCAGGAAACAGCATACAGGAATGTGACTTGCCCAAGATCACAAGACCCCAAACTTAAAACTAGGGTCTTCTAAAATGTAACGTTTTTTCCTTCACAAAGTTGTAAATAACAAAGAATCTGACCTTTCTTCAGAATAACAGAGCAGCAATCGTATCAAGCTAGATCACATCTCAGGAAGATTACTTAAAGTTTGGAGCCTAAGGCAAATTAAGTGACCTCTCAAGGCCTTATTTCTTCAACAGGGGAAAAAAACAATGCTTACCTTCAAAGACGATTGAGGGTAGAATGGAATGATATACTGCATATGAAGCAATAAGTTTTGAATTTGACTCATTGTAGAAACTCAATAAATGTAAATTTCCTTTATCTCTTCTTTCTCCTTTCATGCTGCCAGAGTTGCCTGTCCAAAATTTAATTTAAAAGCATGGTATTCTCTATGCTAAAGTGCTCTTTTTGAAAGTTCCCAACATTAGTATGCATTATAAAATACTGGTGACTTTCTCCATTCTTTAAAAAGTTACTGCAATTCAAACAGGTTTCTCACTAGCTTTCATGAAGATTTTGACAGGACCTTTGTTTATTACCACTTTTCAGAAAGCACAGTGATTGGTCTAATGGGACAGGTAGATTTGGTCCCACTAGTGTGGAAAATTATAGTAGGCAATTAATTGCTTTTCATTATGATATTGATAATGATGACAACAGTAATGAAACGTCTCTTCCTAAACATTAATCACTTTAAATTTGTTTCCGTGGGAAGTAAAATTTTGGCATGAAATGTTCAGATTATTACCCATTTCATTACCTCTGTTTACACTAAATAAATGAACAGACGAGATCTCAGTGAGATGAACAAATATGAGCTCCTCTTCTTACATCTTTCCAGAGCAACAATAATTTGGCAGCCTGTGGACAAAAGTGTCTTTGTGGGAGCTCTAGGATCCAAACAGGAAGTTGCAAGTCTGAGGAGGCCCATTTTGAAAAAGCAGAGTCCTGAGATCAGCTTACTGAACAGGTCATGGCACAGACCAAAATCAGCCCATCCTCCTGCAAACTTTGTGACTGTCCAGTTTGTTCATGCCCTAACACTAGCATCATCCACAAAATGACCTGCAAAGAGCCTGAAAAAAATAGAATGATCTAGTCAAAGTGTTGAAAGAGAAAACTGCTAGCCAAGAACACTATAGTCAGCAAAGCTGTCCTTTAGAAGTGAAAGAGAATAAAAACTTTCCCACACAAGCAAAAGCTAAGGGAGTTCATCACCACCAGAACTGCCCTATAAGAAATCCTAAAAAAATACTTACTCAGGTTGAAACAGAAAGATACCAAGCAACAACATGAAAACATAAAACTCACTAATAAACATAACTATATAGTAAAATTCCAAAAGTCTAACATGACAAGCATGGCACATAACTTGTTTTTAACATTAGCATAAAAATAAAAGTATTAAAAATAATTATAACTAAAATTATTTATGGATAGACTGTATAAAAAGATATAAAATGTGGTATCAATAACCTAAGCAATAGAAAAGAGTAAGCAAAACTATAGAGTTTTTGAAGGCAATTCAAGTTGTGAGACTGCTAGAAGATGTTTTATGTAAGCTTCATAATAACCACAAAGAAAAAAAACAATATATCCTCAGAATATAAGAAAAAAAGAATCACGGGGGTTTAGCTAGGTGGCATAAGTACCTGCTTGGCAAATG